AATAAAATATTTTGAAACATAATTAAACAATGCAATAAAAACCTTTGTGCATTTTTATAGCACTTTGCAAATCAGTTGTTCTAGTTAACATTTCATGGAAATGGTAGAAGCCATTTAATATGGATATATGGGAGTGTTTATGTTATCTATATGTAGAGAGATTGATGAATGGATGACCAGAAAATGCAATAGAAAAAAACGTCACCTTAAACCCATGGCCTCCAGGCTCTTCATGGTGGAGAACTCAGCTGGCTGGCCTTCAGGCATGCCTTCTGTAGCAGGAGTGTCTGTTTTGTCTAAAACCCTGTAGTTAATTTTATACTCAGAAAAAATACATGACTTAAATCAGAGTTCTAGGCAAGAGTGCTCACCTGCCTCCTCCTCACCTACAAAACCACTAACTGGGGCTTCTATGCAGCAGTGGGCACAGAACTCAGAGCCTTATGCACGCTTGGCAGACACTCTACCACCTGAACTGCACCCAGCATGCACTGGGGCTTTTCCACCCAGGAATTCGTGAATCAAGCAAGCCTGCATGTCTTCTCAACTGCACTCACTGCCTCAGTCTGGCAAAGGACAGAGGAAGTGACAGCCATCTTACCTGCTGGCCCTCTTCCCTAACTCAGTAAGCACCCAAGACATACTCAGGGAATTCTTTCACTCTCCTCATTTTTACAAGAGCCTAATTCTGGTTGGACCTGAAAACACATTAGCTTCTGTTTCTCACCCCCGGCTTACTAAATAAAACAAGTCTTCGGAGTCATCAAATCTAAGCAGATATTTATGTCTAAATGTCAATTCCTCTGCAGTTAAAATGATTGCTGCAGAGAGTGTTGCTAAAGGGAAGAGCTGGCTGCTGAAGGTTCTAGAATCAACCTGGGAGGGGAAAGATGTGGGTGCATAAGGAGGAAAAGGGGTGCTGAAAATGACATAAAAATGCCCTAGAGATAAATGCAGTCTTTTTTTTAAAAAAAATAAGCTCTGATAAGAATAGATTTTCTTAAGCTTAATACTGCCTGCCTACCTGTGTGTGTGTGTGTGTGTGTGTGTTATACATCCAAGTGGGCACGTGTGTACATCTGGGCTTAGGAGAGAGCAGGACCTCAGTCGTCTTCCTGTGGCTCTCTGTCTTATCGCTCTGAGATGGAATCTGCCACTGAATCTGAAGCTTGCCCTTTTGGCTAGGCTGCCGAGCCAGTGAGCTCTTGGGATCCTCCCGTCTGCCTCCCAGTGCTGGGGCTGTGGGAAAGCACAGCCATGCCTGGCTTTTCATGTGGGCGTTGGGGATTTGAACTCAGGTTCACATGCTTGAGAGCATATGCTTATCCACTCCTCCGTCTAATTTGAAAGCCCGTCTGCTTATTGAGGTATTTCTAAGCCAGAGTTGTCCTAATATCAAGGCTCTTCCATGGTACACACAATACCATTACAGTGGCCCCATAAATAGAATTTTTAATCACAGAGACTTACAGCCATTGTTGGTCAACAACAGGAAGTACTTTTTATTTCCAAATGTAATTTGTAACCATCACAGAAATGTGCACTTTAGGGGCTGGAGAGATGGCTCAGAGGTTAAGAGCACGGACTGCCCTTCCAGAGGTCCTGAGTTCAATTCCCAGCAACCACATAGTGACTCACACCCATCTGTAATGAGATCTGGTGCCATCTTCTGTATACATAATAAATAAATAAACTTAAAAAAAAATGTGCGCTTTAGGTAAGATCATCAGTGATTGTTTACGTCGTGGGAAGAATCATTTCAGGGGACAGCTGTTCACACAGTCTTCAGGCATCCCGTCACAGATCAGTTATTGAGGCAAAAAGGATGCTTGTGAAATGGGTTGTCCAATTATTGGTAATGTTGAGTTTGGTAATAATACAAGTTACATATAATTTGCCTACTGGGGCCATCCAAGAGAACACAATACTGCCTATGTAGCATCCTTTAAAAACTGTATGCTGGGGCCAGTGAAATGGCTCAGCAGATAAAAATGTTTGCTGCCAAGCCTGTGGGCCCCAAGTTCCTGTCCATTGGCACCCCCGTGGTAGAAGGAGAGAACTGAGGTCATGTCCTGTGATCTTCACATACACGCTGCAGCATGCACTGACAAATTGCACTGCAAAATAAATGTTAAAGAAACCCTGCCGCAGTTTGGATCGTAAAGGCTTGGTCATTAGCCTGTGGAGCTGGTGTGAGGGGGTAGAACTTTTAAGAGCCACAGCCATGTCTCAGGGGTGGGGGTGGGGAGTGAGTGTTAGTTGGTTGGGTCATAGGAGTGTGTGCTTGAAGGGGATTCTGGGCCTTGGACCCCTTCCAATCTCTATTTTTGCTTTCTTGACATCTTGAGGTATCTTTGTTCCACTGTATTCTGTCTGCAGTGAAGTTGTTTCACCTCGGGCCCAAAGACTAGGGCTCCCTTACCTTGAAGCCTCTAAAACTGTCAGCGCCAAGGACTAGTTCCTTCTCTTAGATTGGTTTTCTTATTTAATTTGTCACAGTGACGGAGAACTGACTTACCCAGTGTCAATTTCTTCCTTCCTTCCTTCCTTCCTTCCTTCCTTCCTTCCTTCCTTCCTTCCTTCCTTCCTTCCTTCCTTCCTTCCTTCCTCCCTC